CTACAACAAACTAAACTTAGAATACTTGAAACTTGGCTCTTGAAAGGAAGAAGAAATGGAAACTAATGGAAGGAAGAGTGAATGAGATATTATGGTGAGTTTGGTTACATGAAATGATATAAAAAGATGGGGGAAGTTTTTAACTTTAACAAAAAGGGTAAACTACACTTTAGGTCGTTCTCTTATTTAGTTACTTTTAAAAATACCACTTTCATATAACTATTGGGCCAACCTAAGCTCAATACTCTTAAGAATTGGTCTAAAATTGGATTGGAAAATCTAATGGGCTATACTGACGGGTTTCAGGTTGACCGAAACTACTAACCCGAAATTTGAGGCATTAAAAAAACAACAAGAATAAAAATAGTAGATGCAAAAGCGTATCTGAATTGATTGATAGGTTGAATACTTAAATCTTTTTTTAGTTGTGATTTTCCAAGAAGATAGAATTGCCTTAAGTATAAACTCCCTGATGAGATAAGAGTAAATACATGATTTTCTATTTTTTCGGGACCATAACCTCTTTATATAGTTGATTTAAGAATTAGTTATTGCCTGTACTTATTACTTTTCCCTTCATCGAATTATAAATACAACTTTAATAGCATCTATACTTTTATTTTCATGACATTTCTAATACCTTAAGAGTTTAAAACATAATTGATCACTTAATTTATGTAATATTTTATGATAATAAACATTATAAATGTGTGCTTATAATTATGGATTTTAATCCAACATTACAATTCACCTTATTTAAAAAAAATTGTCTCTCTTAATTAAAAAATAAAATAAAATTTTTAAAAAAGTAAAGAGTCACTATATCCCTTACAGAAGTTTGAATCTTAGCGTTTATGATTGACTGGGTTGAGAGAGTTACTTTCACCTCTACAATACTCGGTTTAGATTTGATCTTGACAACTGCTCCTTTCATTGCTGCCTTCCAAGTTACAGTCTTCCCTTGCATGTCATTTCGAAAATCAGGTTTAATTCAAGGCGTTTTAAACATTTATGAGCAGCTTTGGGAGTACTATCTTGAATAGTATCTTGAATCAGTATTATACTTGCTATGGTGAAATAGAAGCTTGGTTATAGGCAAATGCGTGTTTCAAATTATTCAACAGGTCTCAGAGAAATAATAAAATACCTAAAACTAATTAAGGATTTCGTTCCAGGCAAAATCATTATTGTTGAGCTATTTTGCATCTTGTGCTTGAGCTCTGATTTCAAAGAAATTTTGTGCTGTTGTTAACAATTTATGGCTATGTTTAATAGGTTGAGACAACTGAAACCCACGATTATCGTATAAATATCTTAGCTTTTTTTTTAGTATTCTACGAACTTTGGCAGATTTCCGACTGTCTTTCCGGTGAATTCGTTCTGCTACGACTACGTATTTCATTCTTTTTCACAGTTCCTTACATTCCACGAGAGCTGCACATCCACAGATGGACTGGAGAAAGTTATTCGGCTAATCAGAAGGCCACGATCTAGATTTCATTCCACCAATATCTCTCGAAGGTAAACCGACCGTTCTCCCACCTTCAGAAATCTTAGAAGCCGGTATCTCCGAGTGGAAACTATCTTTAGTGGGTCAGTTTCTCGGGGTTTCTCCTAGCTTTTCCACAACCCAAAGAACCTTAAACAGTTTATGGAGCAAAGCACTCAAGGGTTCCCGATTACAGGTCAGTACTGCAGGTAACAATCTTTTCATCTTCTCTTTTTCTTCTGAATCTGCTATGAATTGGGTGATTGAAAATGACCCTTGGCATGTGCATAATAATCCCCTAATACTAAGAAAATGGGAACCAAACCTTAAAACTCTAAGCTTTAATCTATCTAAAATTCCAGTTTGGATTCTCTTGTTCAATGTCCCTCTCGAGCTTTTTTCTAGAGCTGGCCTTAGCTATGTTGCCAGTGCCATAGGTGTTCCCATTTCTATGGACACTATAACCGCGTCCAAATCTAGATTAGAGTTTGCTAAAGTTTGTGTCAAAATTGGGGCTAATGAAACAATTCCTAAGTATGTCGATGTTGTGCTTAAAGATGGTAAATCTATATCGGTTTTAGTTGAGGTTCCATGGCTCCCTCAAGCTTGTAAAAAGTGTAATGTTTTTGGTCACAGTGAAAAAGGGTGTGTCCATAAGAAAAACCCTTCACCTATTGTTTGCCAGGTTTGGAAACGTAAAGAAACTTCTGTTTCTAATTCTAAAGCCCCTGTTGTAGAAGGAATTGAAGCTTTACAAGACCCTGATATTGCTAACATTATGCCTTTAACCTCTGTTGTTGACCCTCTTAATTCCATAGTCACTACTAATCTTCAATTAGGGGAATGTTTCGAACATACTGAAACATCAACAAATTCTGCCTCTACTGTTGTTTCTGACCTTAGCGCCTTAATAGCCCTGAAAGAAAAATCTTGCTCTGATTTTAACCCTACTGTTGCTATTTCCAGTAGTATTAATCAGACCTCTGAAGTTAAAGCTTTAAATTCCTCTCAAATTGATGGTTTTAATAAGGATAAAAATAGCACTATCATTGAGACACATCCTGCTTTTACTGATACTGACTCTTTTACTGGTATTTCGAATGTTTCTAATGCCTCTGTTGTTACTAATTCTGATAATTCTGAAATTTTAGAAGTTGTTTCTCAACCTGCCTCAATTAAAAAGGGTAGAAGAAGACCTCCAAAGATTAACTCTAAAGTCCCATTTGCAGGTTCAAAAAACAGATTTGAAATACTAAACTTAGTTGATGACATCCCTACTTCCTTAGATAACCAACAAAGAAAAGTAAGAACTGCTTCTTTGGGAGTAGCAAGTCTGGTAAATGAATTAAAATCAAAAAAGAAAAATCTAGTTGAAAAATCTAAAAGTCCTAATGTAGGGGGTGAAATGGAATCTTCTCCTTCCAATGAATTTAAGCTTTTGGAACATAAGAGGACTTAATAATCCTCTCAAACAAGAAAAAGTGATCCATAGAGCTACTCAAAATAAAGTAGATGTTTTATGCTTATTGGAGACTATAGTTAAAGCTGAGAATTCTGAGAAAATTTTCAACTCTAAATTCTCTAATTGGAATATCAGTTCTAACTGAGACTATGCTACTAATGGTAGAATCTGGTTGCTTTGGAAAAAAGGTCTTGATTTCAATGTCATTTTTGCTTCTGATCAAATTATCACTATTAAGGGCTTTCACAATGGTTTCCCTTTTTTCTTATCTGCAATTTATGGTAGCAATGATGGAATTGTTAGGAGACAATTATGGCACCAATTAAAACATGTAAATTCTTCTATTGTTCATTACCCTTGGATTATTGGTGGTGATTTTAATACTTTTTTGCATTATTATGAAAGTTCTGACCATGAATTTCTTGGTCATTATTTATCTGCTGATATGAAAGATTTCCAAGAGCTTATTCATGAGTTAGAACTTCTTGATCACCCTTTCTTTGGTCCTACTTTCACTTGGAGTAACAAGCAAAAAGAACTTTTTCTTGCTAGGAAGCTTGATAGGGTTCTTATTAATTCTTACTGGGCTACTTCTTTTCCTCTCTCTTTTGTGGAATTCCTTGCTCCTGGTTTATCTGATCACTGTATGGCTATTGTTAACCTTGTCAAAGAATCTCCTTTTAATAGACCTAAACTTTTCAAATTTTTTAATTTCTGGTCTACTCACCCTAGCTTCTTGAATGTTGTGAGGAACTCTTGGCTCCATAATGCTTCTGGTAATCCTATATCTGTCCTCTTTTCTAAGCTTAAAAGACTCAAAACTGCCCTTAAAGAGTTTAACAATGAAAATTTCAAAAATCTCCCTACTCAAGTGAAAGTTAAAAGAACTGAGCTGGAATTGCAACAACTCCGTACCTTAAAAGGTGAGGATGGAATCGAAAAGGAGATTATTATTCAAGATGAGCTGAAGATTCTTGAAGAAGCTGAGAATTTGTTTCTTAAACAAAAGGCAAAAATTCAGTGGATTAAAAATGGTGATAAGAACACTAAATTCTTTCATTCTATTCTTGCTTTTAAGAACAAGAGAAACACAATTCGTGTTCTGATTGATGAAAATGGAAATCGTTTGGAATGTTTCGACGATATGGCTAAGGAATTTACTTCCTCTTTCTCTAATTTGCTTGGATCTGTTGACAACAGAGTTAAAAATACTGATCCTTCTTCCCTTAAAGAGCTGTTGAATTATGCTCTTCCTTCTGAAGCTGCTTCTGCTATGGTTAAGGATATTACTAATAAAGAAATTCAAGACGCCTTTTTCAGTCAAGGGAATGATAAAGCCCCTGGACCTGATGGTTATTCTCCCTGTTTCTTCAAAAAGGCTTGGTCTATTATAGGAGAAGACGTCTTGGCTGCAGTTAAGTATTTTTTCCATAACAACTACATGAACTCTGGATTTAATTCCACTGTCATTGCTCTTGTTCCCAAAGTTCAAAATCCTCGAGTTGTTAAAGATTTCATACCTATCTCGTGTTGCTCAATTTTTTACAAAGCCATTACTAAAATTTTAGTTAAAAGATTGTCTGAATTTCTCCCTGATATTATCTCTTTAAACCAGACTGCTTTCATCAAGGGTAGGAGCATTGTTGACAATACCCTTCTCGCTCAAGAATTGGTTAAAGGTTATGGCAGGAAATCTATTTCTCCTAGATGCTACATGAAGATTTACCTTCATAAGGCTTTCGACTCCCTTCATTGGGATTTTATATCCTCTATTCTCAAAGCCCTCCAACTACCTCCTAGATTTATAGCTTGGGTTGAGACTTGTTTCACTCAAGCTAGGTATTCCATCTCTTTTAATGGCTCTCTTATTGGTTATTTCAAAGGAGCTAGAGGTTTAAGGCAGGGTGATCCTCTCTCTCCCACTCTTTTTGTTCTTTCTATGCAAGTTTTATCTAAGATGCTTAATTTGGCTGCTGCCAAAGAAGTGTTTGGTTATCACCCAAAATGTAAAAGATTGGCCTTACCCATCTTTCTTTCGCTGATGACTTAATGATCTTCTGTAAGGGTAATGCTGACTCTATTATGGGTGTTTTAAGTGTTCTAGACCTTTTTTATGAAATCTCTGGGCTTCAACTTAATTCCTCCAAATGCAAAATTTTTTCTACTGGTTGTTCTTCAAGATCAGTGGATTTATTTCAACAGATTTCTGGTTTCAAAAAAGGTAGCTTACCTGTTAGATACTTAGGTATTCCTCTTGTTACTCGTAAACTTACTGAGAAGGATTGTGTTGTGCTTATTGATAAAATTAAACAGAGGCTTCACCATTGGTCTGCTAGAAATCTGAGCTACGCTGGCAGACTTGAACTCATTCGCTCTGTCCTTTTCAGCGTCTCAAATTATTGGTGCAGACAACTAATCCTTCCCAATTCGATCCTTACAAAAGTGGACCAACTCTGCTCCAGATTTTTCTGGAAAGGTGACGATAAGTCTGCCACAGGTGCTCGAGTAAGCTGGGATTTTATCTGCTTCTCTAAAGCCGAAGGCGGCCTTGGCCTCAAAAACACTAAAATCTGGAACAAAGCGTGTTCTATTGATCTAATCCGGAAAATCTTAGCGGGTGATGACTCGCTTTGGGTGGCTTGGTTAAATTCTTATGTTTTCAAAGATCAAGATTTTTGGAATTTTGTTGCAGGTTCTAATGTGGGCTGGAGTATTAATAGACTCCTAAATTTACGTCCTACTGTTCTCAACATCTTCTCCTCATCAAGTTCTCTTAGGCTAAGAGATATTTGGGATTCTATCCGAATCAAAAGGGAGAAAGTTCCCTGGCAGAATCTAATTTGGTTTCCCATGCACATTCCTAAATTCAGTTTGATTGCTTGGATGTCTTTGTTAAACAGATTACCAACTAGAGATCGGCTCCTCAAAATGGGTATTTCAACAGAATGGACATGTGTAAACTGCAGAATCGATCAGGAAATAAGAAATCATATTTTCTGTCAATGCACTCTTGCTGTTCAACTTTGGAGCTCCGTCCTATCGCTTAATGGCTTGAAGAATACATCCACTACATGGGAAGAAATGGTTAATCAGGCTACTTCAACATGGAAAGGGAAATCCTTACTCATCACAATTCTGAAGATTTCTTGGATAGCCTATATTTACACATTGTGGGAGGAAAGAAATCACAGAATTTTCAAAAGTCGTTACAGATCTTCAGATGAATTGCTCAAGGTTATTATTGAAGCTGTGCGAATCCAACTAAAGGGTAAAAATATTAATCGAGCTGATAGAATTAATTCTAACCTTTGTATTGCATGAGGTATTACTTAACCAATCTTTGCCTTTTGTAAGCAAGTTGTGTATAATTCTTTTGTATTGATCGGTTGATTGTATTTTATAGCAGAATTCTGCTCTTTTGGAAAATAAAATTTGATTTATCCAAAAAAAAAAGTATTTCACGGCTTGGTGAAACGATGGCTACAAGATCTAAGGGACGACATGGAAGAGCCATTGCAGGCTCATTTCATCTTTACTAGTAACCTAGGTTCATTGAAGCAGATATCCTGCAATTTATCTACTTCTGTCAATCATATAATTGATGGATTCAATCCTTGTAAGGTACTCAGCATGTACCTTAATTCAACCCTTTTTCAAGCAGAATAACAATCCTTTGATCCACTTCTTACAGACATGCAGGTCCCATGGTGCACCATTGGATAATGCAGAAAAAACTAGGATTGAAAGGCATTCATGTCAAGTCACTGGCCATGAACTTGGGACTTTTGACGTGATTGACAATTCTTTGAAGGTTGGAGAAAACACAATACTATATATGCCCTCTTTTCAGACTTCTATGAAACTCCATCAGGCTTCTTCACCTGTCAACTTCAATAATAATAGACAGAACCAACTTAGGGTCTCTAGTAATCTCAAGAATGAAGCTCCATTTTCGACATCTTAGTGGATTTTCCACAGTCGTTGCATATTTTGAAAAGACTCCTGGTTATTAAATAATTTAAGCTGTTGTCCAGGTAATTTTCCTGAAATATAGGAGCTAGGGAAAAAAGGGAATGCTGCTAGTATTTTATTTAAACGACGCCTTGGTTCATATTCTCCTTTAATGGTATTTTACACAGTACTTATATTTGGGAATCCCTATTTTGTAACTCCATCGGCTTCTCCAGAGATAGAAGCTGCTTCAGATGAAATGAATCAGCTAGAATTGAATGCTCAATGTGCGTGCAAGTCTCTTTTTTTTTCTATCATGCTGCAATGTGAATGTTTAGTGAGTAGTTTGTCTATGATTTCAGTTTTTTCCTGAATTGCAAATTTATCTTGAGTTTTATACCATTAAGAGTTCTTGTTATATGCAACTGACAGAAAATTTTCAGTGAACTGTTCTTCCTTTCTTTTCACACCTTTTTATTATTTCGTTTTCCTGATCCAAATACAAAATTTCAGTTTTCAAAGGGCTTTGCAGTGCTCTACATTCATTAGATCAATGCTTGGTATTGCAATCTAGAAACAAAGAGGGACGGGACGTTCCATTGCTATTATATTCTTCAACCTTCAGATAATGGACCAATGCTTCTCAGGGTGAACATTAAGCTGCTTTCATTGTTAAAGGATGGTCTACATGTTCATTACTAAATAATATTTGTAGTCAAGTGTCTCATTGTAATCCACCTAATCTCTACCAGCCCCCCCAACCCAAAACAAGTTGCTACTTTAGGGTGAAATTTTCTTGCTAATGGAGTTAAGCTCAGCTGATAACTATGTTGTTTAATTTTTAAAACTTATAGCGCCTCGCAGGATCATAGGAAGTGTTGCCTTTTTCTGATGTCAATCGATTTATTGCTTATTCAGTGCCCAAGGAGATTGAGATTGCCATTCACTCCTCCTTATCCAAGGTAAAAAGTATTATTTTGAAGTTTCTCTCTGTTCCCATTCTTTTATTGTTTAGTTTCACATTTGTTGAAAGCCATGTTTTTCAAGCTCAGTCTTGTCCTTTTATCGTCTCTTTATTATCCTAAGCGATATATTGCCCTTTTAAAAGCTGTTCTGTATATCCTCTGGATTTTGCATTGTATATTATAATCGATTGCAAAGGGCTTGAAGCAGCTGTACATAGATCAACTGACCACATTAATTGAATTAAATGGGTTAAAAGTATATTGTTGTATAGTCAAGTGCACATGCATTTGTTTCCCCCCTTTATGAATCAAGATATTTTTTTTAATTACTTCTTTTGTACATGTTGGTCGAAGATTTCTAACAACGGTAGAGTAGATAGCGAGTAGTTAGCAAGGCCTATTAGTGGTGAAAATTCCTTTACGTAAACATCTTTGAGCATGGAGAGCGGATTGAAAGCTTTCTGATAATTTCTGCCTCATGGATGACATGAATATTCCAGGTCCGTAGATGCTAAACCGAATGACGCAACATCTGAGCCAAACCCAACTAAGCTTGACTCAACCAAAGCGAAAGCACAACCAACTTCACCGGTCCATGTCATGGTAGTGAATGATGAAACTTCACATCTAGAGAAAGCAGTTGAACCCAAAACAAGAGCTTCAATTGCTGAAGAATGGGAGCGACTAGTGGTGAATGAAATCCCAATCAAATATTCTCCCACCGTACCCAAGTCGGATCAATGGTTTACACTTGTATCCTCACCAGACAACAGCGGGCAGCTAGATATAAACACCACAAGGATACTGGAGAGGCTGGAGTTGCCAAGGCAGTTAAAATCAAAGCAAGACTCTCCCGGCAACAACAGCAGCAGAATCTCGGATGTTGCGAATTCGTCAATGAAGAAACCTCTACTCCCTTTCCAGCCCAATCAGGCTGCGGATCAAGGCTTGACCTCGACCCAACTAATCAGGCCCTGTTTCCAGAGGCTAAAACGAAAGCATAAATGAACGGTTTACCCAATTGTTGGGTTGGGTTGGGATGGCTTTTAGATGAGCAAAGCATGACTTGCGTATTTTCTCATCAAACACCAAAATCTCTTTTGAAATCTCAATCAACCAACGCACTATCGTTTGTTTGCCTCAATTATTAACCGATTTCCCATTGATACTTTTTTCAGCATGAAAAGGTAAATTAAAATACGAAAATTTAGAATTTATTATATTAAAGAAACTTTGATACATGATTGCAAAGCATATTATAAATGGAGGGGGCCCAAGATCTTTGTACAAAATGAGACACAGAGGTGACCGGAACCGTCTGTACTGAGCTTCGAAAAGCTTTTGTTTTAGGCTCCTCTTATCCGGAATGTGTGTGGTAATTAAAAATTCTCTTTATGAAAATCAAACCTGGTGGACGTCTTGCGCGAGAAATCTAAAGCTAGCTGGCGAAGCTCTTGTGTCAGCGCCGGTGCCCCGCAATAAAACACCCCTGGCCAACAACAACACTCGTCATTATTTGTACAAACATCTACTTATTATTTTATCATTATCATGAAAAGCACTAACATCCCATGTGCACATAACAAGCGATATGTTTATGCAAGATGGTTTTATTAAAAATAATATTTTATTAGAAAAATATGAAATGACATCATATGATTTTATACATTCATAAAGTATATATTTTTTATTTTTTATAAAACAGTTAGTAATTGATTTATTAATTAATTAATTTAAATTAAATAATGTAAAAATTTATTATAAATTAATTTTCTAAATCTAATTTATTTTGTCCACAATATCAAAATTGGAATGTTCTATCTTATTTAAAAAAGCTTACACATCAAGTAATAAATTAAATGTTAGTGGTTAGATTTATACTCTTATCACTCAACCACTTAATAAAAAACTTTTACTTATATCTTTTGTTTATTTTCAAAAGGTATATATCTTTTTTCTCTTTTAAATTAGGTGAGAGACAAAAGAGCTAGCAAACAGAGAAAGCTAAGAAACATTGCTTTACTGATAAATCAGCTAAATAAAGAAGATATGGAGCACTTAAAGTCAACAATTACACAATAACCCTTTTTAAAAACATGTAATTATTTCTTCCCTAACTCTAAAGTTGATCGATTAATAGATTATTTACATGTAAAAAGCATGTTAATTAGATTCCATGTTGAGCTATATCAATTGATGTAAGCATGTTGATGAAGTGTAAGGGTAATTCCTACCATTATCTTTTGACAAAATGCTTATAAAGTCATAATAAAGGAAAGGGTAGATTTCAGTATACATACCAACTCGAGAGCTGTTGTGATTGACAGCAATTTGCTTGTAGACACTGCGCCAATTAGGCTTAGCGAAGTGGGATTTAACTCTTGTACCGGAGACGATGTCGACCCCATTTTTAGCATGATTGAGTGATTGAAGCATGGTGATGAGGGCAGAGCGAGCGTCCCCTTCTTCATACACGCTGGTGCAGTAATTGTGAAGCTCGATAACATGGTTATGGTCCATTTCGGCCACTTCATTCATTATCCCTTTGAACCAATCAAAGGACCCTTGTTCCCTCGTCACCCAATAAAAGTATGCCCTCCTGGTTTTGAAGCTTTCTTTCCTTTTGGAAGTTGATGATGATGATGATGAAGAACTGGTTCTGTTGATCTCATTGACTCCATTACCATTCTCCAAACCACCACTGATGGACTCTCCTTCTTCTTCCTTGGCCCTGATGTTGTTCACTATGTCTTTCACGATGCTGATCATGGGGGTTGCTCCAATCCCCAACCCCACCAGCAGAACCACTTCGTACTTCTTGTAGTCTTGTGCCGGTGCTCCGTACGGTCCGTCGATTAGCACTCTTGGGAAACTGTTCAAATCATCAATCATATTGAAGAATATGCACATCTAAGGAGTACCGTGAATAAGACGAGATTGATGATAAGTTATTAGAGTTTGACTTAATCAAAACTCGGTCAATACTCATATCGAATGAACTCGACTCGAGTTCTTAATGAGTTGAAACAAATTACATGATATCTGACTCAAAACACTAGTGACAACTTTGAAAAAATAATATATTATTTTTTAATTATTAGATTAAATTATTAATAATATTAACATTTATATGTTGTTTGTTTTAAAAATGCAATATAAGGTTTCCATGTGCTTTAAGGTTCATGTTTGATCTTCAACCGAGCTCTAGTTCGAGAATGTTTTGAGTTCAAGATTTTTTGAGCTCGAGTTAAACTTTAATGTTTTATTTTGAGTTCGAGTCTAGTTTAACAATTTTAAGCTCACAAACTTTCAACTAGAATCGAGCTCAACTTTAAATTTTCCGAGTCGAGTCGATCAAATTTGTCTCCATTAGTCTACAGCTATATTACTTAGAACATTATTTGTGATTAATTTTCGAACACTTAACATGGAAAATGACATTTTGATTAAGTTTTTTTGTGTTGTTCGAACATGGACATCCACTTCCTTCAAATGAAAGCTTTTTAACATTTTAATTTCCATTGGTTTCTAAAGCTGACAGACACCATGTCACCAAATTTTCTTCATGACAAGTTCATGTAAATATAACCCAATTTCCCATGCCCTAGCAGCCTCAACACCGTCAATTATTATTCCCTCATTAAGATATTGATGATGAATTTCTTGTCTTGTTGCTTAGAGGGGACAAATATTCAATAAAAATGAAAAAGAGAAGTAATGAAATATTGAAGTGATTTCTAATTTCATTTAACATATGACATCACATGTCAAGGGGAAATGACAAAGGAAAAAGACATCTCAGAGCAGCCATTGGCAGTGACCATGACATTAACACCATAAAAAATTGCATATTTGAAGATAGACATAAACTAATTAAGAGTATAAAACTAAAGTTTGGGATTTTAAAAATAATCTTGAATTGAAATGGTGTAAAATATCTGCAATTATGAAATGGTGTGGACCAACTCATTTTTAGCTTACCTTTTATGTTATAAAACAACAGATTGCCAAATCCCATTTCTGCTAAAATTGCTAGTAGTATCTTGCTACTCTTCAGCCATTAGAGTCGGTGTCATGATCCTCTAAACAAAGCACAAAAAAGAGTTGTATGGAACAACTCTTATTTGTTCTTTACATTGATCTGATTAAATTAATAGGGTTTGACCTATATAGTGCTCATCACGTATGTAGCATGAACCCTTAATTGTTTAAGCCTACAGATCCAAAGCTTGATTCCTTCCAACAAGCCTTAAATCATGTTCTTGTCTTTATTTTATTTTTTTATTGTTTTTTTTTCTGTTGTGTTGGCCATGTTTTTGTTTTGTAGGGAAAAGAGAAAGGAGAAAATTCTAATGACTTACTCTGGGGTTTTAGTTCCTTGCATACAGTCAGCTCTAAGGAGGCCACTTTTGCCATTAGTAGGTTGTTGACACACCTGCAAGAACATGTTAGTTGAAGTTCAATACAAGGTTAATTAGAAGGTCGAGCCGTCGGTTCTGAAAAAAGGGACAATCAGAGAAACATGCCTCAGAAAACACGGTCCTGAGTTGTCGAGTCCAGTCGCCAAGTGTCCTAATATGAACACTCAGATAATCATCTCCTGGAGCTGAAGTGATGGAAAATGGGTGCCTGTTTCTCATTTTATGTCATGTTAATGAAGGTTTACTTCTTGTTTTCAAGAAGAATAAAAAACAGAAAGTCCATGGAGAATTACCATTCAAACGGAGACACTGCAGCACAATTGACAAACATGTATTGTCCACTTTTGTATCTAAATCCATGGGGCCTTGACATGTGAAGTGCCAGTACATTTCCAGGATAAACAGCTACCTGAAAATCTGTAAGATTAGGAATCTGGAATAAGATTGGGGCTCGGGATTAGTAATTCCGAACCCACAAACTTGTTGAATGACAACCCGGGTTAAACCCGAGTTTGATCATATACAATGATGATGGATAGCTTACCTTTTGTATTGTAACAGCTTTGATGCTTGATCTAAGCAGCCTTGTTAATCTTTCACATGAGTAAAGGATAACTGGAACTGCTAAGTACATCCAAGTCTGCCATTTTCCAACAGAAATGAAATTAGTTTGGATAAATACCAAAATTAGTTTTGGAAATTTGATCACTGCTTACCGTTTTCTTGTACCATTTCTTGGTCAGGAAAAGCTTAATTCCATGGAGAATGAGGAGAGTGTAAACAATGACAAACAGATGGTGTGAGTACCAGAAGGCATTGAACCCTGTTAGCTTCTTCAGAGGCTTCGGAAGGTTCATCCGACCCCGCCTGAAACACGGTGCCGCTAACGTGAAAGCGATGGCCATTAAAACCACCATCACTACCCCAGTTATCCCTTCAAAGTGCTCCACAAAATGCCAATAACTTTTGGCTTGTTCACCAAAATATTGTTTCATTGGTTCATATTCACCAGGTGTGGCATGAAGCAGGCGAGGGAAATCACATGCCAAATGGGCAATCCCATGTATCCCAACCCCTATAGAAATCCCCACTGCTATAACCTGCAACACATTGAAAGTAATTTATAAACTCCATTAATGAACTTATGTTATAAAGACATGTTAATGTTTGTAACCTTGTGGAAGTTGAGGTTGTCGTCGAAAGGAACCGCCACGCCTAGTTTCGTCTTGTTTCTTAACCAGGTTATGGTGTTACGGCATACCGGTAGCAGTATCAGTGCCATATTCAGTTTAAGTGTCTCAGCTGCACCTTTGGCAAAGCAAACACAGTCCCCCATCACTTTATATACGTCTTGCCTCCTCCGATATTCGATGAATTTGTACGTGAACAAGCCACACATGACCGTGATCCATAAGGCCATCACCCAAGCTCTCTGCCAGTTATCTAGCAAGAAATACTTGGTGTCCCTGCAGAATCTCCTAACTGGATTACTGTCATATGTAGGCTTAAGCTTCTGGCTTAGCATTTGGCTCAGTTTCCGGCTTTCGCCTCTTACTGATTGGTTCGGTGCTTGTAATAGAAGCATTTCCAAGTTGTTTATCTGTTTAAAACACAAGGTTTATGAAGATTGAAGCCAAAAACTAAACAAATGTAAGAATTGCTTGAAATTTACCATTATGTAACCTAGGTGGTCTGGGTCTAATTCTTCCATAATCAAAGCTGCATATTCCTCTGCTTGTTTCTGGATATTTGAGAGATTGTTTGCTGATGCACTGAGACTAATAATCTGTGAAAGTAAATCAGAATTTAAGGTATAAATTTCGATCAAATTACTTTTAATTGCTGCAACTGATTCATATGGTATACCTCTTTGACTTCTTCTTCTGTTATTCTTCCATCTGCATCTTTATCCACCCTGTATTTTTATGAATCATTTGATTGAATACCAAATCTTTAAAAGAACAATTAATGTAAGAAATGGTCTGAAAAATGGAAACATAATGATCAACTTTACATGTCGAAGAAGGTTTGAAGTCGAGCATCGAAGCTTTGATTTGAGATCTGATCCCAGAACTCTTTCAGGTGAGCCTTATCGATCGAATCACCTTGAAAGTTTCGTTTCCGAGCAAGGGCATCAAACAACTGCCCTGCAAACTCTTTAGACTCCATTCCTGCCATTGATTTACACGAGATCTCGCTGAATTGAATCACCTGAAAATATGTTGATGGTTTAGATTTTGTTTAACTTCAAATACATACCTATGCATTCACCAAACCGTGACCGAGGCAAGGTTCCATTGTTGGAAGCTGTAATATCATCAAACCGCTTCTCAACAGCCTCCCATCCATGTCCGCATTCATTCTTGCTAATGAACTTGAGTCCAACGAGAGCATGAGCCGCGGCGGATTTAGTCCGATCGAACCGAGCAGGCTTCTTCGAGAACGACGTCAACCGCTTAAGTTCATGCCCCACCTGCCTAATCTTAGCGGAGGCATTCCTCACCAAGTTAGATTTCTTCTCAAGACCTTTAGCCAACAAAGTCAGCTCGGGATCCTCATGTAAATCAACCTCATTCGCGGCCTTTACGCTCTGGACCGCAACCGAATCGTCGCAAACGTCGAGGGTAATCTCGACATAGCCATCGCCTTTCGTGGAATCGGGAATGTTGAACTGGGCAGTTTTCTTCCCCGCGACAACCTTTCTGTTCAAGGGTCCGCTCAATGGACCACTATGGGGAACTTTATCGGATCCTAGAACATCCGTATCGGAATAATGATGATGATGGTAACAATTACCACCATCCTCTGAATTCATCTTCTCCATGTTCTTAGATTCCAAATTCGCCGATACAGTGTTTTCCAAAGCCAGCTAGATTAGCAATGTAAACGGATTGAATAGTAGAAGAAAACAAAGAGAATAATATAATAATATTCTTTAATTTGCTTGGCCTGTTCTGAAGAAGAAGAAAAAACTCAATATATATATTACTGGGTTCTGAAAACTTTATGAAGAGAGAGAGAGAGATGAAGGTTTGAGGGGACAACAATGGAGTATTCGTTAATGAAGGTGCGCCATTATCATTGGACAATGATCTTCAATATTCCTTGCATTTATATCCTAGTTGGGACTGTGATAGAAACTGTACAAATACATTATCAGCTTAAAATATGATTGAGGGAACTCATTTGGAAGCTCCCATTATTTTAGATTTCTTCAACGTGCATTCAACACTCAATTTTACTCGTTCTTTCCTCTTATTTTGCTCCAACTATCATATTTTAATTAAATTAAAAATAAATCATACTTTGAAGATTAAATCCTCATATTTAATAAAAAAAATTAGAAATACTTTAAAAATGTAATACTATTACTTCTTTAGGAATTGATGTCATTGACATTTTGAAATATATAACATTTCAAATACCAACCATTTGTTATATATTTATTTATTTCTTTTATAAAGTTTAATTTTGATTTACTTTTATCGATAATTTTTTACTAGTTTGATCACCTATTGTGATTTTTTAGATATATTTATATTTATATTTTACTCGAATTTTCTCGATGATTTTTTAACATTTTTCTTATATGGTCTTTGTACAATTTCAAGCGACTAGTTTTATGTGTCAATGATTATAATTTAGATAATTTAAAACTGGTTTTTAACAACCCATAATGCTATATAAGCCGAAGTAAACGTTTGGCCAACCTGGAATAAAATTATTCTACCACATCACACTATTTAATTAAGTATTTAGTATGTCAATAACCTCCAATTAGTCCCTTGATAATTTAAACTTAAAATAAGGACAAGTTTTATTCTATTTTATTTTCTATTAGAATTTATTAATTTAAATTTGTCAGAAATTCAGAAACGTTGTTCTATAATTAAAATAAATCAAGTTGAAATATAATTAAGCTTCCACTAGAAAACTTGTAAATTGTTTTTTTTTAATATTTTTAATAACGATTAAGATTCTTTATAATTAAATTCTTCGTTATTGTGTGTGCTTTTTGGAAAAGTTCTTTTGGGATCGTTATACATCAATTAATTTTCATGTGTTTATCTATTTATTAATTATCGTAAAACATAACTAATAACCAACAAACAATTTTGCTTTGGAAAGTTGGACCGTGGACATAACTGAAAACTTATTTCATAAATTCTTTTTATCATGTAATTATTAGTCCTAACTAATTAAAAAAATCACACCAATTTTATTTTCATAACATTTATAAATAAAGATATCAATTAATTAAAATATTACCAAAAAATCTGACAAATTTACAAACATTCATAAACTTTCATTTTTCAATATTCCTTTTGTAATAAAAATTATTTGAAAAATAGTCAATTTTTCTTGCTCGAACAGTGTCCAAATACTATGGACTAGAGAAACATCACACCCCAATGATCATCATTAAATAGTTGTATCATTGTTCAAGTGAAGTCTGCTCCTTTTTCAAGTGCAGTCTGCTCGAATTGTCCCCCACATTTGATATTTTTTCACTTTCTACTTTTGAGATCTCAAATTAAAGAAGAAAAATGCAGAACAGAACAAGTGGAAAAATAGATGTGTGCTTGTATGTCCGGTTGCAGATCGTCTTCCGGTGGTGGAGGTGCGGTCCTCTAAAGAAAGACACGCTCTCCACGAGGGGTCATGGTGCCGGAAGGGAAAAAGTAGGGAGCTTTGGGAGTGCCGGCAAATAGCCCCATTGTATCCAAGCAACGCTAATCTAAACCATCCATAGAAAATGGATAAGTGAATTGTGAAACATTGAAAGTTAATGGAAAAAGATGATCGAAAATATTTGTAATGTAAGGGCCGAGAATAAGTGGGTGATCGGAGTGTACAACACGTTCAAAGGCGCGAGCAAACCAAAAACCTAAGTTTGCCTTTGTACCTGTAAGCATACACCACAAAAAGAATAACTCAACTTTACTCAAGCAGGAAGTAGTGTCATTACGTCCCGAGTAGTTGTATGCAAAAAACCGATAGATGTAGCGAAGTGTTGTGTCATGGATATGCCACCTAATCGTCGTCTGGCCATTGTAAGTATACCTCGTCGAGCTAGTAAGAGCCAAGTAAGCGGCATCGACATCAAAATTCTACGACATCTCAAGTAAAGAGGTAAAATAACCATAATTCGTGACATCTGTCACAAACCCCATAGGAATGTCACCGGAGCTTACTGCAACTGAATCGACGAAGGTTGCCCCGTATAAAAGTGTGACGACGAGACATGATTCGTTTGTGCCGCCATCAGTCTCTCCATCGGAAATCTGGTTCCAAAATCATATGTATAACCAAAATCCAAATAGTACATGAATAATGGCATAATAGAAACATGATCGAAAGTTACCCTGACAACTGTCGTTTTGATGTCAAAATAAATTCATTCTTCTCAATTAAAAAATAAATGAAATATGTAGTAAAGAGAAGTAAGAGTTCATCCACAGGGACTTAGAAAATTCCTAAATTTCGGTTTGAGTTGCCTTGACATACATTATGTAGTACATAAAAAAGGGGTTTTGATAAAAGTGATTAAATAATAAAAACCGATTTAAAGTAAAAATAAAGAATGTAAAGTTGAAAATGAATATGGTAAATACATCCTCAAATCTCGCTTTGACTCAATTTCCTTCGGATCATCGAATTAGATTTTTCCTTCGGGATTCACGTCACTTACTTTGTCTACAATGGCAATCCTCGTGACTCTACTTTGTATACCGAATACCCAAGGCAATCTTTGATTCTGACTTTGAAAATTGATCTGATCAATATCAATTGTCATAGATCGATAAACGTTTAAGTTCGTGAAGACCAACTCGAATTGTTGTTTCAATAACTACTAATTCCTATCTCAATTCCCTCTTAGCAAGGCAATCTTGTCAAGTGTGTTCCCAGGAAGTCGAATGTCCTTTCAATAAGTCGATCTTTCCTCCCACACATTTAATCGCAACAATATCTTGACCAAAGTCAATCTTTGATTTTGAAAACTGATTTGATTTTGAAAATAAGCATAGAGATTGAGAGAAATATTTCGAAGTTATTGAAGCATGAATCAAGCAAGAAAAAGGGTCCCCCGATGTGTGTCAATTGTCAAAGAACGGGGCATGTCAAATATGAATGCCCTCTCCTAAAGAAGAATGGATCATCCAAGAAAAAGGTATTTGTGACAGCTTGGAGTGATGAAGATAACTCCAATGATGAAGATGAAGTAACCAACATATGTCTCATAGCCATCGAAGAAGATTCAATGGTATCTTCTAATTCAAATGAATTAAATTCACATTCTTTTGATGAGTTACAAGATGCTTATAATGAGTTGTATTTGGAATTTGAGACCATGAATTCCAAATATAAGAAATTGATTTCAAAACTTAAAGTTGAAAATGATTTGGTTTTGAAAACAAAAGTTGATTTTGAGAATCAAAATGAAATTTTGAAAAATGATTTAGAGCTTTCAAAAGTCAAAATCAATGATTTAGAAAAAGAAAATTTTGATTTGAAAGTTAAGCTTGAGAGCTTAATAAAAGAAAAAGAATCAAAATAACTCATTATGTTTAAAAATAGAAAATTGCTCACATTGCCATTTTTATGGTAATTTGGAACATACTTGTCCCATAAAGAAAAGAAAATATTTTAAAATTAGACAAGTATGGATTCTTAAGGGAACAAGGGGAAATGAAACTAACGTCCAATGATCCAAAGCAATTTGGATACCAAAATCCAAATAAACGTCTCTTGTAGGTGTGTGGGAGCAATAATCATGAAAATGAAGAAATCAAGATGCTCTAGCCACACTCTAAGGGCGTGTTTGGTTCGGGGTATGTGGGATTACCGGGGGAATGAAATCCTCATCCCCCCGTTTGGTTGGCCAATAATCATATTCCCGGTAATCTTTTATTCCCAATAGTGGATTTTTTTGGGTATATTACCGGGAATGTGATTACCCTCATTCCCTTAGGTATTGTTGGATTACCGACGTTTTGGACTAAAATGCACTTACTTTTGTTCTCAAAAATATCATTCTTCTGTCGTTGAATAATAAAAATTCTACGAAGGTTAAATTACAAATTTATTCTTAAACTATTTTAGATTTACAAAAAAATCTATAATTAAAATTTTATATAAAGTTTAGGGTTAAAATAAAATTTCACCCTTTCATTAAACCTATTTATCTTTTCAATTTTGTAAAAAAATTATATAAATTTTATGAATTTAAATTTTTTAAAGAAAATATATAAATTAATTATAGTAATATTATAGTAGAATTCAACTTGTTAAAAAATAAATATATAATAAGGACAATTTGGTAAAATATACATTCTAATAATCTTTTATTCCTTTAACCAAACATTGTAATCTTACATTCCTGCTAAACCAACCAAACACAAAATACAACATTCTCAATAATCCTATTCCCCGGTAATCTTTTATTCCCACTGATAATCTTACATTCCGTGAACCAAACGCACCCTAAAAGGAATGGGTAACCTCTAAGCTTAAAAGCTTTTTCTTTTTGCATAATTGGTTGCTCATTTGATTTTTGGCATGCATGAGTTTTGATCTTAAATGATTAAGTTTTGTTTTTCATCTCATGTATGTTAAAAAGGTGTTATGATGAACATTTTAAATTTTTAATGATTTTTCATAATTTTTAGTTCATCATAATGAATTTTGGTCAAAATTGGTTTTAAATGAAAATGATATCTCTCTAACAATTGATATCAATTTTTAAAATGCTTTGATTTTACACATTTTAATTTTTGACCTAAATTTAAATGTTTATGCATATGGTTAAAATGAAAATTATATATCTCTAACAATTGATATCAAAATTTTCAAATGCATAACATTTTTGGAAGGCTTTATGGATATGCACTTAATTTCAACCATTGGTATTGCATTTTTTTTACTCTTTGTTATTTAATTTCAACCATTGGCATTGATATCAAAATTTTAGACTTTGATATATTGAATTTCATGTGTTACCAACATTTTTTACTCTTTGTTAAAATTCAATTTTGTTTAAGTGTCAAGCTTTTAAAGTCAATTTTTGTTTGGAATGCACATTTTGAAGGGGAGCTTTGATTTTTTTTTCAAATGCTTTTTATGTCAAATTCACCACTTACTCTCCAATATTATTTTTGAACTTTAAAGTTGAATTCTTTTTTATTTAACAAAAATGGAGAGAAATGTGATTTGAAAAATTCAATTTCTTAATGAAAAAGGGGAGCTGAACATTTTTATACATTTTTCAACAATTGATATATTTTTCATTAAACATTTTATTAAGGGGGAGTTTTGCCAAAAACAATTTTTCAAATGTTTTATTGTTTTGTTATATCAAAAAAGGGGAGATTGTTAAAATATATTTTGATATAACAATTAAGGAAAAATGTTTTTGGACTTGAATTGAATTTATTCAAAGTTTTTTAAAGTTTTCAAAAATAATTCAAAGTCCTTAAAAGTGGAATTGAGCACAAAATATTTTTCTGGACAAGCAGTAGCAATGTTGTTCTTACAGTATCGATACCACATGAACAGTACCGATACTGTTCATATGGTACCGATACTGTTCATATGGTACCGATACCAAAGGTAAGGGAAGTATAGATACTCACTAGGTAGAATCGATACTACTAGCAATGCTCAAATTCCAGAATGCAAAAAAAGTACCGATATAAATACAAGTTGATGACACTTGAAGAAGTGTAAGAACACATATCCAAGCATTCAAACACAAGAGAAGAGTTTTTCAATCTTATTTTCATTTCTCTTGTAAATATTATGTTTGTGTGAGTTTAATTCTTTGTAAACAGCTACCTTTGAGAAGTTTATTTGTTTACTTCTTTACTTCTTTTATCCTTTTGTAAAAGGAGTTTGGTTCTATCTTAGCCAAGTGAAAAGATAGGGAGTGTAAAGGTTATCTCTTGATCCTTTAAAAAGAAAGAACAAATTAGTGAATTTGTTAGAAAATGCTAAGTGAGGAGCTTAGGTAGTGTAAGTAGACTTAGTTGATAAGTCGAACCACTATAAATCCTTGTGCCAAATTTCTCTATCTTTTACTCTCCTTACTCCCTAATCAAATTATTGCCAATTCACCCCGTTTCCATATTTTTGGTTGTTCAATTGAGCCTCTTCAAATCCTAACACATGTGCTACTAACATGTTTGTTATTCTTTGTTGAAATTCAATTTTGTTTAAGTGACAAGCTTTTAAAGTCAAATTTTTGTTTGGAATGCACTTTTTTGATGGAGAGCTTTGATTTTTCAAAAATCCTTTTGTCAAGTTTAACACTTACTCTCCAAAGTTATTTTAGAACTTTAAAGTTGAATTATTTTTTATATAACAAAAAAGGAGTGAGAAGTATGGGTTTGAAAAAATTCAATTTCTTAATGAAAAAGGGGGAGCTAAACATTTTCCAACAATTGGCATCTTTTTCATTAAATATTTTATTAAGGGGATATTTTGCCAAAAACAATTTTTCAAATATTTTGTTATATCAAAAAGGGAGAAATTATTGATATATATTTTGATATAACAATTAAGGCAGAATGTTTTTGGACTTGAATTGAATTTATTCAAAGTTTTCAAAAATAATTCAAAGTCCATTTAACTTGAGATTGAGCACAAAATATTTTTTTGGACATGCAGTACTGATATTTTTCTTACGGTATTGATATCTCATGAATAGTACTGATATTGTTCATATGGTATCGATACCAAAGGTAAGAGAAGTATCGATACTCACTAGGTAGTATCGATACTACCAACTTTGCTTAAATTCCAGAATGCAAAAATTGTACCGATACCCAAAGGGGTACCGATACTACTTTACATAGTAGTATCGATATCATATGCTTAGTATCAATATCGTCAAGACCAACGGTTAGTTTTATTTAAAAATAACAAAGGCAGTATTGATACTCCCTGTAGGATTGTCGATACCCTATGTACTGGACAATTTTATTTTACAGAGAACAACATCCCCAACGGCTCTAAATTACTTCCAACGGCTAGAAACGACTACAAACTCATTCCAACATATAAATACAAGTTCAAGACACTTGAAGAAAGGTTATAACACATATCCAAGCAATCAAACACAAAATAAGAGTTTTTCATTCATATTTTACTTTCTCTTGTAAATATTTTGTTCTTGTGAGCTTTAATTTGTAAACACCATATCTTTAAGAGGTTTTATTTGTTTACTTCTTTTTACCTTTTGTAAAAGGGATTGATTCTAGTTTAGTCAAGTGAAAAACTAGGGAGTTTGTAAAGATTATTCTTGATCCTTGAAAAAGAAAGAACAAATTAGTGGATTTGTTTTTTGAAAATCCTTAGTGAGGAACTAAGATAGTAGAGGTAGACTTAGTTGAGAAGTCGAACCATTATAAAGCGATGTGCAAAACTTTCTATATTTTATTTCTCCTTACTCCCCAAACAGTTTGCCAATTCACCCCTCTTGCATATTTTTCGGTTGTTCAATTGAGTCTCTTCCATCCTAACACATAACTTCAATAAATAACGAATGAAATATATTCCAATTAGTCTTTAAAGCTTGAACCTAAATGGGACTTATAATTGGAGAGTTTTAAGTAAATAAAATAATTAATTATTAAATAAAAGATAATAATAAAAAGAAAATAATTAAACTAAAAAGCCAATCGAAATTTCTTAGTATATAAAATAACTAATTTCCAAATAAAATAATCATATTAAAAATCCTAATTTTAAAAGGTTTATCACAAAATATAAAAATAAATATTTAAGCTTTATAGTTCTAATTGAGTTCTACTTCATCTTCGGATAATTGTATTAAAGTAAATTTCAAATTAAATAATCAATATAATTCCGCTCGTCTTATAGAAGATGATGATTGGACTCTTGAAATAATTAATCCAATAAAGCTTCTAGTACTCCCTGCAATTGATTAACATGGCATAGATTAATCAGATCTTTGGAGGAGGAAGGAGCCATTTGGTGGCTCCAATGTAGTCAAGCGACAGGAATGGTTTGGCTTCGTTATCAGTTAGCTTTTTGACGAATACCACCCGCTTATTTAATTTTGCGCCTTCCCCAGTGCACTTGTATTCTCCATAGAAAACAGTTCTGCAAAAAAAAAAAAAAACCATTATCTTAGTTCATCAATAAGCTAAGATTAGTGTGTATTATCAGCATTAACTTACTTGGCTCTTTCTGGTTGCATTTCACTAGACCAGCCGGAAGGAACCACAACTTTGCTCATATCAGTATAGGAATAAACAACTCTAGGGCTGCTCTTCCATGCCCTCCCCAGAAATGTACCCTTTGCTGCTCCAGTGATTTTCCCGTGCACAAAGGAGTAGCCAGTTTTCTCCGATGAACTTTCTCTAGCTTGTGCCGTAATTACTGTAAGTCTCGGATCGTTTTCAATAAATATTTCTGTGCCCTGCATCCCACTTTTTCAATCAAAATCTGGTATATATATATATATGTATATATTTGATGTGTTGTTTAAATGTATACCAGATATAAAGATGTCCCACTTCCAAAAATGAAATCAACAGTGCCTTTAATATTGCAATCCTTGAAGAAGTGGTTGCCCCTGTCATCGCACACTGTATCCTGGAAACCGACCATCTTGCAGTTATAAAACGCCGATCTGTCACCGGATACTCTCAAGGCAACCGCTTGTGCTCCTGGATTCCCACTCGGCATTGGAGAAGAGTTCTACATATTTTTGCCAACCGAAAAAGAAAACGAATTAATGGAAGTTAACAATATATATTCAATTCAAGCAATGACATGGCTAAAAGCTTACCACTATATTGAGATAAGCACCCACAAAGTAACTAGACAAGGTAATAAGAGTGGCGCTATCCACGGTTCCGTACTGCCTGGCGGTGCCATCAAACGTCAAAGTGGGCATGCTCTTGGGGTCTCCCAAAAATGTAATGAAAGGCTTATCTCGAGGAACTGTGATTTTCTCTTTGTAAGTTCCGGATCCGATGGATATTATCACGCGTTTGCTGTTCCCTCTTGGAACGCTCTCGACGGCTTTTGTAATGGTATTGAAATCCCCACCTCCGCTTTTCCTCACCTTTATGATTTTAGGGTTAGCCTCGGCCTTGGCTACATCTGGGTCTATAGTGCCGGACCTTTGATTGACGGGCTTGATAACGCTACTGAACCAAGAATTTACTTTTGATTTGTCTGCCGGTATCTGTGAACTCTGCGACAGAACAAGGGGAGAAAAAAGGAGAACCATGCAGATTGCTGCATAAACTCCATCATTTTTTGTTCTTTTTCCTCCCATTTTTTATTTTTATTTTCTTTTATTATTTTTATTTTTTTGGAAGAAATTTGTTTTTATTGTTTTACCGTTGATATTGGGCTTGTTTTCTCATCAACTCCAATTTATAAGATGAATTTGTTACGAAAAATCTGTAAACATGAGATTTGAAGTTTTCCTCGTTCTGCCACTAATTTGTAGTCATGCATGCACCATTAGCTTGCTACGAAATTCAAACCTACAGTTTAGGGTGGTCCAATGACTTAGCACACAACACTAAATCTTCGGCAATGACTTAAATTGAAGTTAATCTCGCATGATGCCTTTATGGATGTTATATTGATATATGATGGGTTAATTTTTTTTTCATTTATGTGTTAATCTTCCCCGATAATTCCAAGCCATCGAGAGAAATCTCCGAAATTCGATCGTTGTTCAGGTTGCAATTGATGAATCTCTACGAACAAGTTATCATCTTCATTCCACGATTGAAGATAAAAGGAAGGATTCTTTATATTTGATTTCAGCACTATCAAGCCAAGAACATGGTCGTTTAGTTGAATAGAAGAAGCTCCATCGTCTTTAACACAGAAATCCATGGAAAGAAGCAAACAAATCAAGAAATGAAGAGAACTCTTTGTTATTATCCTCATTGTTTTCATTTTTGTTCATTGAAAATACCTGAAATCAAGAGGAAACAATGGAATCATGCATGGTTTTTTGCTAAAGAAATGCAGTTTTTTTCACGAGAGAGTGTTTTTTCAACTTTGTGATAAGGATTCTTCAGTTTCGTCCTTTAGTTCTTGCTCATAAAAAGAACAAATTAACTTTGGGAAATCGAGAAAAACAGTGAATCAAAGTGAAAATTAATTCTGAGATGAAGTAGCGGTTTAGAGAGGAAGGGACGGAGAAGATAGATTTGGGGGAAGAAAACATATAAAAAAAAAGGGGATAAATTGATATTTTATCATCGAATTATTTTGGGTTTACAAAAAGACTCATAATTAGTAATTTATCTAAAGTTTAAGGGTTTAAATAAAAATTAATTTTTTTTACTAGCATGCCACATCATCCAACTGACGACAGCTAACGTCTCAATGACCAAATCTTACTTAAAATGAAACGAAAGTGATCATATATTCTGTTTTTTAATCGAATGACCATACATTAATAAAACAGAAATAAAAGTGACCAACTTTGTTGTTTACCCTAGATTATTTTATGTAAAATCGTTTTCCTTTTTTAAGAAAATATAAAGATTTTCCTTATCTTGAAGTGACATATTTAAGTGCTATTAGTGTATTAATGTATCATTTTAATCATACACGACTTGACATATATACAATATTTATTTCATTTGATCATCATTATGTTTGATTATAAATTAAGAATACTTTTACATGTAGTGGTACTGCAATTTCTTGACGCACTATAAAACAAACAATTAATGTCACTTCTTCTGATCGTGTTGAGTTTTTATAAGAAAAATGAAGATATAAATGCTCAACTTATTAGTTTAAATGAGAATTTAGTATATATATTTATTAAAGTTTTTTCTACCGTTACATTTGTGTAGTTAATTTTTAGGGTTAGCTACACTGATTATCTCTTATGATTATATTTTGTCCACTTTTGATCACTGATTTCAAAAAGTATAAGATATGATCACTTTTATTTTTTAATTAAGATGTGGTCATCACATGTTAATTGATGTTAACAATTAACAAAATATGTGACGTGATAGTTGATATAATCACACATTTGATCCATGTTATTTACATATTCTCTAAATTTAGTCATACCTTTAAATAAATTTTAACATAAAATATATATTTTAAATGAAAATAAAAATAAAAATATTTTTAAATTAAGTTAATAATAAAATATATTTAATAAGTTAATATAAAAATATTTTTTAAGTTAATATATATAAAATATTGTGAAATTAAGTATTTATACACTAAGATACAAAATATATACACCATGTTGTCTACTTTAGACCAAGCAATGGTATTGGCTTAATGATTGGATACATGTTTAGTTTCTTAAATGACCAAGGTTTGAATCTTTTTTTTGCCTCAATTTGCTTTTCTTTGTTTTCTTTCAACCAGAGGGTGACACATGTCACTCTTTGATCGGTAGAAATAAATATATTAATTTAAAATAAAGTTAGTTCTCCAACTGAATTGGTCAATTTATGACAAAATTTTTATATGACATTGTATATAACGTCACAAAATATACTATAAACGTGACGTTTTCTATTTTCGTCACATTTAGTGATTGATTGTATATATTTTATAACAATTTTAAAAATGGTCATTAATTTTTATCACTATACGTTTGGATCCAAAATTTATCTTCAAAAAAATTGGTGGGAAATCTTTTAATGACATTTAGATTAAATGGAGACACCTTAAAATCGTATCTAATAAATGGAAGTAATAGTGACAATTTATTATTATGACGAAATGATTTGAAATAGTGACATTCTAAATTTGTCACTAATAAGTTTTATTTGTAACAATTTGATTCATCATATTATGTAAGATATAAAAGATGGTGTGTTATTCGTTCAAAAAAATAAGTTTAACGTGAAGAAGGAAATTATATGTCACAATCTCTTATATTTTATATGATAATATTAAAATTTTGAAAAAACATTTTGAAAAAAAAAACTTTTAGTGACATCTTAGATACACCACTAATTCAAAATCTTATTAGTGACATTTTTAAATAATGTTTTGAATTTTTGAAACTTTTATATATATATTGAAGACCTTTTTTGTTTAATACATATACTTCTATAAGTTGAGTACTAATAAGAAAATTATATAAGTCAAGCCCCAAAATCAAGATTAAAAGGGGTTTAAATTTAATGTTCAATATATTAATTATGAAATTCAAATTAAATTGAAAAATATATAAATTTTCAATGGTCAATTCGTAATTTTTAGAAATTCCAAGTAATTAATGTGAATTATAGACTGCTAGGGGTGTACATTGTTAGATTTTAACAGAATTAATCGATCAAATTGAATTTGAATTTGGTTAGTTGGTCAAGTAATTAAATGTTAGATCGGTTAATGATTAAGATTTTTTTAAAATTTGATTAACGATTAATTCGATTTGAAACTGATTAATTAATAAAAAAATATTATATATATATATATACACACACACTAAGCACAAACCTAATAAGATCAAGATCTAATTATTTTTTAACAACAATATACACATTAAACTTTCAAGATCCAATCAAACTATAATCCATATGGTAAAAAATTATTTAAAATAAAATTAATCTATCTAAAAAATTATAATAAATTTCCGTTAATCCAAAAATTGATCGAAATAATCGAACTTTGTTCAGCTCAGTTAATAATTTTTTTAAAAAATCAATTCAATTAATGGTTAAAGAAAAATAAGTTTGATTAATATAATTTTGACTAATTTGATTCGATCAATGGCTAAATTAATTGATTGAACAACGCTATAAATTATTTAAGGACCGAACCATTAGTTTTTATCTTTTTATATATACTTTTAAAAAATAAGTTTTTAGTATGATTAAGATCCACTTACACTCAATGTAAAACTAAAAGTTTGAAGTATTAAAAAATGATTTTTAATTGTCATGTGAATTAAGAGAGTAATTTATATATGTATGTATAAGTGGCGTTTAAATTGGTGAATTAAAAGAATTATTTTTAAAAGAGTTTTCTAATATATTTATATGTATATGTAATTTAATGCTAATAAAAATAAACTTTAAGGGTATTTGGAGGTAAAGCCTAAAGCTTGCAGCCGATTACCATCTCTAAAATTAAATAAAAAAAAAAGCAATATTCTTTCCTTGTAGCGTGAGTGTGCAAAAGGTAAAAACAATCCTTAGGTTTTAGAAGCTAGCGACGTTGCCTGGGTTATCTGCTACCATCGCGCCGCCGCTGATTTGTATGATCGTACGTGGTCACTTGAGGCATCACCGTTGGGATCGAATGCTACCACCGTTTATCGTTGTCTCTCTATTTTTTCTTTGTGCCTTCGTTTTTGACGGGTAAGGATCTGTTTATCTCTTCCGACCCTTTATTGATTATCGACTGGTTGATAGAGTTATGAAATCTTCAAGGTCCAATTCCTTCCATGGTTTTCGAATGCTAAAGTAAAATATATTATTATTTAAATAGTAATAAGTAAGGTATGGGTTAACCTATGGAAAATGTAAAATTTGTTTTATTGGGGTCTCGAATTTATATGATTTCTTAAGAAAGTAGAATAATCACTTTCGTGCGTTTTAATAATAATATATGCGTATAAGATGAGGTTTAAAGGAATGTGAATTCTTAGGAGATTCATTCTTTCGAAAACAATAAGGAAAATAAATGGAAACATGCGGCAAGCTATAATGGAAATAAAAAATAGGATAATAAAATATTAGTATTGTTAGTCATATTAGGTTATATGTTTTTAAGCTTTAGACATATGTACTGCTTGGGTTTCGTCATTTGTGTTTGGTTCCTTAAAAACCCTGCAACCCTGCTCTCAGTTTATCGTCAATTTTTTTTCTAATATACATTTATTTTGGTGTAATAGACTTTGGAGAATGTTGTATATTATAAGAATATTGAAGTGAATAAGCTTTTGGAGAAACGCGAAGTTAATCCTTTGGTGAGTTATTGCATTATTCATCTGATTTTTTTCCATTAATGATACTTCTTGAAACCATTTGTCGAGGGTCTTATGACCATTGTCCACTCTATTATTGGTTAGTACTTGAGCTGTTATGATACTTGTTGCAACCATTTGTGTATTATTGGCTGATGTTTCTATTATATTAATTCAGCTACACAAAATATTGTTGATGGACCATCAACGAAGGAAAAGAGAGTCGGTAGAGCTGCTTCCAATAAATATCATTCCTAGCAGCGTTGGAGCTGCTAGGGTATATGTTATATTAATTTTTAGATTTTCATATATTAGATTTGACTAACATGAAGCAAGTGCATTGAAGTTCAAATTGTAAT